TGTGTATGTGTGTTTTATTTTCAAAATTCAAATACTATCCTCCGTCAGTTTTATATTTATTTTAATTTTTTTTAATCTCTTTAATTAAATATAAAATTTATTCAATACAACATTTCTTTTAACTTCTTATATTTTTTAATATATCATTTTTTATATTTATTTTAATATTTTAAAGTTATTTTAATATTTTAAAGTTATTTTAATATTTTAAAGTTATTTTAATATTTTAAAGTTATTTTAATATTTTAAAGTGATTAATGTCTAAGAAGTGTCATCGTAATGTTTCTCGGAGTTAGTACAAAGGTAAAAATAGTATAGGCTAGTAATAGTATAGATGTTAAAAAATTAGGGTGTAGATGCAGTTTTACAAAATTTCATAAATAATTATTTTAACTTAGATTTAAATATGTTTTAGTTATTCTAAAATAATTAAGTTTTAATTTGGGTGTTTATAGATTTTTTTTTATTCCTTTAAAATTTAAAATTGTTATTTCTTATCTTTATAAAATAAACAAATTTTTATATTAGTTGCTGTAAAATATTTTTCACTAATTTTAATTATTTTAAAATCTAAAGTTACTATTTTTAGTCTCTAATATTTATTTTATGTTAAATAAATTATATTTGTTTTAAATATCTATACATTTTTACTCATTTTTACTCATTTTTACATTGACTAAAATATATTTAATGCTTTTGACTTACTTGTACTTCAATCACACAAGGCATCCGTTTGAAAACTACTCTGGCGCGCACCCTATGCTGGTGCCTCTACGTTACCCTTGACAAATAATTTGTCCGGATGGACACAATACTCATATTCAAAAAAAATCTCATCTATAAATACCACAAATAATCTTGTGTATCACCACAACACATCTTTCTCACATTTCACTAATTAACCTGAAGTTGTTCCCATAATTGTCAAACTACACTGCTAGCTACCATGGTTGCCAAAAATCATTTCTATCATATTTCACTGGCTTTGCTTTTCTGCATGGGATTCTGGGGTGTTCAAGTCACATGCCGCACTCTCCAAGATGCTTCCATGTATGAGAGGCATGAGCAATGGATGACTCACTATGGCAAAGTGTATAGCAACCCTCAGGAAAGGGAAAAACGTTTCAGGATATTCAAGGACAATGTTAATTACATTGAAGCTTTCAACAATGCTGCCAACAAACCTTACAAGCTAGGCATCAATCAATTTGCAGACCTCACGAACGAGGAGTTCATAGCACCAAGAAATAGATTCAAGGGCCACATGTGTTCCTCAATCATAAGGACAACCACTTTCAAGTATGAAAATGTGACTGCAGTACCTTCCTCTATAGATTGGAGACAAAAAGGAGCAGTTACGCCCATCAAGGACCAAGGCCAATGTGGTAAGTGCTGATAACTCTTTTACCAAGTCAAATTATATTGAATGATTATTATCTAACTATTAATTTGCCTTGCAGGATGTTGCTGGGCATTTTCTGCTGTTGCAGCAACTGAAGGAATTCATAAGTTGAGTACTGGAAAATTGATCTCTTTGTCAGAACAAGAACTTGTTGATTGTGACACAAAGGGTGTGGACCAAGGCTGTGAAGGTGGTCTTATGGATGATGCATTCAAATTCATCATCCAAAACCATGGACTCAACACAGAAGCCAAGTACCCCTATGAGGGTGTTGATGGAAAGTGCAATGCAAATGAAGAAGGCAACCATGCTGCTACGATTACTGGGTATGAGGATGTTCCTGCCAACAATGAGAAGGCACTGCAAAAGGCTGTGGCAAATCAACCAGTTTCTGTAGCCATTGATGCCAGTGGCTCTGACTTTCAGTTTTACACAAGTGGTGTTTTCACAGGTTCATGTGGAACTGAGTTGGATCACGGTGTCACTGCTGTGGGATATGGTGTTACTGATGGGACTGAGTATTGGTTGGTTAAGAACTCATGGGGAACTGAATGGGGTGAAGAAGGGTACATTAGGATGCAAAGGGGCGTGAGTGCTGCTGAAGGACTTTGTGGTATAGCTATGCAAGCATCTTACCCGACTGCATAATTAACAAATGTGGACACCATTATAGTATTTACAATTCTACATACCTTTTTTAAGTTTTAAGCTTTGGTTCCTGCTATAGGGCGTTTATATCGCTGTATCCCCTGCATGAACCATTGTACTTATCAATCTATTACTATGAAATGAAAAACACTGTATCCCTGCATGAACCATTGTACTTATCAATCAATTAATATGAAATGAAAAACGATTAATGGTTATGAATTATTACATATGGATAAAGGTATCAGAACTATAACATAAAAGGAGAGAAAAGAAGTATTAAGGCAGAGATCATAAGAGAGAAAAATGAATTGTCTATGAAAGAATATTTTTACTCGCTACAATGATATAGAGGGCTATATATGTATATATAGTACTGACAGTGTTGTTTAACCACCTAACTGAATTCTAACATTGGCTAACAGCTACCTAATGACAGTTACAACTGAACAAAACAAACTGATCATCCCTTTGCACAAGATCACAAGTTGAATATTGTTTTATGAAATGAATGAACATGTGTTAATTGAAATGACAAAAAATACCCATCAGTTGTATCAGAGAGCTGCTGGTTGGTTTGGTGATAACCTATACATACAAACAACAACCAAAATACAATATTAAGACAGATTTTAGTTCCTGAGGAAAAGACTTGGAACATGCAGCTTCAATGTCAAGGAGGAGTGTTAATTGAAATGACCCATCAAGCTGCCAAATATCAGTTTTTATTTTCCTGTTTTTTAGGCAAAAAAGAGTCAAATAATTGTCAGAATCAGAATATTTAATTGTCCTTATTTCTATCATACGTTATGCTTATCAATAGCAGATTTTACGTGATTCTATTTTTCCTATTTCTGTATAAATTCATGTTATGCCATTGAATAAAAATCTGCCTTATACAATTCAGTCCCTTTCTTCCATTTTTATTACCTCCTTGTATATTTCTTTTGAAAATAACCAACAACATATCTTGTGTTAGATTTTATCTTAATACCAATTGATTTTAAGATGGAATCTAACATGGTATCAAAGCCTAGAGCTCATCTTCTTGGTTTGATAAAATCTAACATGGTATTAGCGTCTAGAGTTTATTTTCTTGTTTTGCCTATTCTAGTAGGCATTGCTTGGTTCGGTAGACATCTATGGTGGGAGGATGTTGGGAAGTCTCACATTGCTTGCCTTAATTTCTCCGGGTGCGGTTATTAAGAATTCATGGGGAACTGAGTGGGGTGAAGAAGGCTATATTAGGATGCAAAGGGACGTGACTGCAGCTGAAGGACTTTGTGGTATAGCTATGCAGGCATCTTACCCGACCGCATAATTATCAAATTTTTGGACACTATTGTGGTATTTACAATTCTACTTATATTTTTTAAGTTTTAAGCTTCGGTTCCTGCTATTGAGTGTGTATATCACTGTATCCCCTGCATTTGTACTTATCAATCAAATACTATGAAGTGAAAATGATTAATTTAATGTTTATGAATTATTTCATTTGGATAAAGTATCAGAACCATACAATAAATGAGAGAAAAGAAGTATTAAGGCAGAGATCATAAGAGTCAATATTAAGACAGATTTGAGTTCCTGAGGAAAACACTTGGAAGTTGGAACATGCAGCTTCAATGTCAAGGAGGAGTGTTAATTGAAATGACCCATAAGCTGCCAAATATCAGTTTTTATTTTCCTTTTTTTAGGCAAAAGAGAGTCATAATTGTGAGAATCAGAATATTTGATTGTCCTTATTTCTCTCATACGTTATGCTTATCAATAACAGATTTTACGTTATTGTAGTTTTTTTATTGCTGTATAAATTCATGTTATGTCATTGAATAGAAATCCGCCTTCTACAATTCAGTTCCTTTCTTCCATTTCTATTACCGCCCTGTATATTTCTTTTCAAAATAACCAACAAGATGCCTTGATTTTAATAACCTGAGAAAGGTTTCAGAATCCCAGAAAACTGTGACATACTGCTTTAGGACCTTTAACTTCAATATTTACATGTGCGAATAGAACATACAAATCTTTCAATTCCCTCCCAAATAAATTCATGTTTTTATTTGACCCGAGCGAAAAACTAATAGCTCTTCCCGAGTTCCCGGTCTGTGAAACATGTTGGCGACTATATGCTGTGAAATTCATGAGAACAATCAAGTCATTTTATTTTTTATTTTTTTTAAAGCAAGCAACCTGCTAGTATTGTCTACGGTTCTAATTGCAGAGAGAAGTAAATATCGTAACTGATCAACAGAAAAACTTATCAATTGAATTCGTTGTCATAACTCAAAAATTGGTAATCTTTACAAGTTGAGATTATCCCTATTGTATAAAATTTCTACTAATCTATGTCAGTCACCAATAGTGTCAGATTTATTGTCCAATCAACAGAGAAGTTATATGATGGAAGACATCTTCACTGCAAGGAATTGTGAGGCCACCCATGGGATGATCATATCCAAACTCTTCCTCAGCTTGGCTCAACAAGCCTTGAAATGAAGGTTGGTTCAAGTATGATATGGGAATCGCGAACCGCTTCTGTTTTTCTCCAACATACACTGCAAGATAGCCCTTTGGAACTTTTACAGATTTTGAAGCTGCTTGGCCAGCTGTGAATGATGCCTGTCGAATAGCAGGTACACGGAAACCCATTTTTTGTGTTTGTCTGAAGGAAGAACGATATCAAATTTTTTAAGAAAGAATCTAAATGTTGATGCTTGAGGATTGAAATGGTATGTGTATGTGTTGTTTGCGAAGACAAAGGATAGTGTATATATAGTTTTTAAGATTCTCAATCCGTAGAGAAAATGACTATTAAAGGATGAGGGCATCCACATGAGATATCACATGGTGTTGTCTTCAGTGTCTCTATCAAGGATCATAAAGTTGTTTAGACGTGTGTAACACCACCTTATCAAACAATGGTCAACATATGATCTCCACTTGTAACCAAATGTGACGTGAAACTAAAATTTTATTCATGCATTCTTTGGTGCTAATATCTTCCACATTTTTGTAAACATGCTTTGGACATGTTTTCTTCACGTTGATAATACAGACTTTTGTTGAAGTACAGCTGGAAGGTGATTTCATTCTGGCTGATGAATTATAAGGTAACAGACAGCGAGAGATCATAGACCATTATATTTCTGAGATTTGAGATTATCTACTATAACATGTTACATTGATCCCTCAGCAAGTACTCCAAGGCAACACACCATATGCCCTTGTCTCTCTATTGGTCCCATGACTCTGGTGTCATAGCCCTCCTACTTCAATTATTCATCTAGTCAATAGTTTCTTTCAAATTCATTCATCTATAAATAATCAAGGCTGCAAGGCATTGAGGACAACAAAAATCATTCACATTATAGAGCATTAGAAGATCAAAACTTGCATCTTATTTACAAGTCGATCTTTTTTGGCATTCTTTTCCCAAGTCTCTACACATACAACAATGGGTTTTCGTTTACCTGGTATCAGAAAGGCATCATTTGCAGTAAACCAAGCATCTTCAAAAGCTTTGGACGTGCCTAAGGGCTATCTTGCAGTCTACGTTGGTGAGAAAATGAAGCGGTTTGTTGTACCAATATCATACTTAAGCCAACCTTCTTTTCAAGATTTGTTGAGTCAAGCCGAGGAAGAGTTTGGCTATGATCATCCAAATGGAGTTCTCACTATTCCTTGCGGAGAATATGTGTTTTTAGATACCACTTCTCGCTTGAATGGGTGCTAATCCCATGAAGATGAAACTGACTTAGATGTATATTATGTAGAAAAAAATAAGAGAGACGAGGTAATACTAATGTTTAGGCATTGCTTGGTTCGGTAGACATCTATGGTGGGAGGATGTTGGGAAGTCTCACATTGCTTGCCTTAATTTCTCCGGGTGCGGTTTCTATATCTGTTAGATAACTTTACATAATGCCAATTGGGGCCTACAGCCCATTGAAAATTGGGCTATTACAATACTTCCCTCCTTTATGAAATTTCGTCCCCGAAATTTTTGCAATGGTGGACTCCTCGCTTCTTACTTTTTAATTATTATGCAACCTCACTACCTTATTGATAAACAACTCTATCAATTTCACCAAAAGATATCTAAGGGCAAAACAAGTAAACTTGGTGAGCCTATCCACTAAAACACAAATAGAATCGATCTCTTAAGCGTCTCAGACAAACCTACAATTAAGGTCTATCCACTCACCATTACAGTTCCAAAATGGGACGTCTAAGTGCTACAAAATTTCCTAAAGACTTCTTGCATACTAAACACGAGCATACAATTTCTCTACTCCTCTCTTCACCTTAGGCCACCATGCTTCCGCTGCACC